CTACTACATCGAGCAATGGCGCTACTTCCACCCACTCTCATTCCCAACATTGAACCTACACCTCTTCCCAGCACAGACGTATGGAATCAACCTGATGGGCTACGACCACATTACTCGGACCAGACCAACGACTTCATTGACAATGCCCACATCCCGTCGCCGGATATCGTGGAGGACGAGGCACTTATGGATGAACTGGTGGAAACCCATCTCCCTGAACCACACCACCACGTTGCCGCTCCGTCACCTGAAGTCCTACCTGCACCCTCGAAGTTTTCTACCAGAACACCATCACCGCCGACTCGCAAACAGAAAGCCAAATCAGCTCCCAAAGCGCCTGCCAAACGTCGTCGCCGACTTGACCAATCCCGATCCCGCTCCTCGAGCCCACTGTCATTCTGGACTTCCGAAGACAAACAGAAACTACGCACTTTGAAGGCGGACGAGAAGTCTCGATTTTCATGGCGGGTGATCTCGACCAAGATGGGCAAGTCCGAGGAAGATGTTCGCTCTATGTGGAATAAGATTAAAGACAAACTTGGCTGACCAACGACATATGCGAACCAAAGAAAAGCTGGCCTGCGGCACTGTATTATAGCTTCACCACCCAATTTTATTCGTCTTTAGAGTTTTTTCGTTCTTACATTTCTTGATCTTCACAAACTCGGGCATTGTTGCTCCTTTGAAACGTTGACATGTCATATCATACAACCCGCCAGCCATTTACTATGTCTCTCCGCATTCACCTGGATCGCTATTGCCAACTGCGAGCTATGTCCCACGAGAGGATCTCCCCTACACGACGATCACGCTCTCCAACAAGGGCACCGTCCTCCGCTATGGGGTCTTCATTATCTCAGCACCCACCCAACCGGACTCCGCCTTCGACACCCCACCGACCGGTTATTTTCCAATTGGACCTGAAGCCGATGCAGCAACTTGCCGTTCGCAACCCATACTACAACATCCTGGCCCCCAAGGTCGCGGGCAACCTCTCCACGGCCACCTATGACAGCCTGTTCCAGACGTTCAAGGTGATCTACCCGGATTATGCTCGCAGTCATTTCGTTTCAGACCTCAAAACCGTGGTTACCGACACGCTGTTACAACGATGGTCGATACACCTACCAGCGACAGATTTCTACATGATGATTGACACCGATCAAGGAGCTCAGATGCTGGACGACCTCCCTCATTCTCTCCTGGACGTTTTGAACTGGTTCTACCCGACATGGAAAACTCATCAACATCTCGATGCCTTCACGACCCGGGAGTGTTCACCGTTGTTGCTGACACCCCATCCAGATCCACAGGACACAGGCTTCGCTGTCCATGTTCAAGTGATTCCCCGCGGGCATCCATTCATCACGGCCACCAGATACACTAAAGCGGCCGAGTGATTAGCCTTTGAGATAGATCTTGGAGACGCTCACGTCTATGAGGAAAGGAAAAAGCACTCGTTATGATGTCCTCCACCCCGGTTTTGGGTTTCTTTTGTCTCCCTTGCTTCTCTTCTTTCCATATTGCGATGTTCGTTGTTCGTTTTTCCATCACTGACCTTTTCCCACGGCTTTTTGGCTTCAGTTCAGTGTATCTCGATATCATATTATTGCTACTGTACATGATGACCTCCAACACGGATGATACTGCTCGATTGGTCTCACACCGTTCCTCACCTACATCCGTACATGGCCTAGTCCCACACCTGCCACCTGATGATCCTACTTCGGCATCGTATATTCCCCGAGCAGCGCGAATGATCCCAACCTCTACAACCGTCCATTCCGTCTTCATCAAGAAGCTGAGCTATCCTTTGTCTACTCGTCCGGATGAACTTTGGATCGTGGAAAAGACACTTGATGGTATTGAAACGTGGAAGCCAGTGGAAACATTTCTGGAGAACATGCACCTCACCAACGATCTTGCTACCCTACGTACCACGGCTAACCATTGGCGCCGATACTATGACGTACCAATCCAATCATCCTCCTCCCCTACGGCAACTGCTGTTCCTGTTCTACCACACCCTGAACACTCCAACGTCTATGTCTCCCAACCGTACGAAGCGATACCGGACCAACTCCATATTTTACAGTCATGCTGGGGACGTTCTGCCCAACACCACTCTCAAGGAACCACCACCTCTTTATATTGGCCACCATGGCGGTCTACACCACCTTCTTCACCACCGGCAACATTGCAACGTACCTTACATCTCAATCGCCCTACCGTCCCTCCTCAACAAGTACATGGTCCACTGGATGCGAACGATACGGACCCGATGGATATGTCTGACTCCAGTGTGTAATACAGCACATTATTTGTCGGCATCGAAAAAGCACCGTGACTACACGTCGATTTGTGACTACTCACTAGGTACACCGTTTCCATCCATTTTCCAATTTTTGGGCTTTTTTCCTTGGTCATTGTCCTTCTATGTTGCAGCTTGGGCTTTCCGCTTTATACTCGAAACTCGACACTCGGCGCCATGGCTCATTCTTCTCGGCCCCATCCATATCGCGCTACATCCACGGTTGAGACACCACTGGGTACCCGAACCGTTGGATGGTTTGCTGGACCCCGAGGCTTTCCTGGTCACGTGAACCCTCCTCCAAACCGACCTGTCCTTATTTTGATTGACTACTCACCCTTACAGGAACTGACTCATCGCAGCGAACCTGACCGTGAACACTACATGGCTTTGGCTAGTTCAAATCTCAAAAATGTTAGTGGCTACGAACTTGAAGCTCTGTTCACCTGGTCACGTCAGATGGAACCAGTGGAAGCCGGCCTCCTTCCCACTGGAGAACTACGTTTCTGTATTTCAAAAAGATTGAGGACCCAATGGGACATCCAGCTTGACCCTTCGAATTTGGAGTTTCGCTATTGCGACCTGGAAGGTGATACATTCCAAGTCCCCAATGACATCACGATCTTGCAGCTTTTGGAGGAATACCGACCCGAATGGCGACTACGACAGTACAACTACTTCGAATCCTCTTTGCTCGTCCCGGGTACCTCACAGCCTTTCGTGCTACGTCTGCGATGCCACAAAGTTAGCCCCGGTGTGATCCTGCCCTGATACGCTCACTGGCCAAAAAAGACCATGCTCGAGGGCTTTTCGTTATACCTATGACACTTTTTCAACACGAAGGATTCTTTGATTTCCATCTTGTTAGGCTTTGAGCTATGTCCTTTCCGTGACCCTTGAACCACTGGATTGATGACCGGACTTCACTTTTATCATCATTATCATTATTATTATTCTTGGGCTTGGCTTATGTTCGCAATTTCATGATGCCTCAGCTTTTGTCGCACCATCTCACGCGTCTCTGATCGTTTCACCCATGGAGCATAAACGAGACGCTACCGTGGCGGGCTTGGCTTGGCCTTCGAATCCCAACCGTGGACTCGCTCCCACCAACCCAGATCAAGCACCAGACGCCCAGGCTTCTGCACTATGTCATTCTGGTCTTCCTGATCCTACTACCGGGACCCCTTCGGCACCTTTGGCAGCTGACAGTACAACTACCGACATTGGAACTACGGCCCATTCTGATACATATTCAGGCCTCGCACCTCCTGATGTCCCTTTTCCGACGGAGCAAAGTCCTGCATACCACTACCTCCATCGTGCTCACTTCTCTTCCCGCGTGGTTCACCAGATCCAATTCAAGATCATTACTATTACCCACTCCAACAATACCAGGGAGCTATTCATTGAAGAGATCCCCTTGTCAGGGCTTTCCAAATGTCGTGATCCTGAGCACTACTTTTACGGTCTTTCGGGCAACTGGGAGTGGTCACTGCGCACAGCGGATTATTGGCGACATCATTTTGAGATTCCTCTAGTACATGGACATCATCCTTTTCACAATGTTCCCATTGAGACCACGGCACCTACGGAGGCAACCCGCTTTACTCCGAAGATCCAGGACCTGGCCCAACAACTTTCAATCACTTTGAGGGCTGCTATGGCATCTGGGGAAATCAACGACACGTGGAGGATGCTTGAGGACATGAGCTTCCGTGACGCGATCCAAACACTTCAAGCTGAGACGAACCTCCCTTCTGAGTGACTGAACGCGGCTCTGTACATTAGCACCGGAAAGCTTTTTGTATTTGAATAATCTTGTCGACATTTGCAGCGATGGTCTTCCAAAAAATCAAACCCCGCTACATGCGGGGTGTGTGTGTGTGTAACATCTGAACAGATGTAAAACTTCTTGGATTCGAATCTTTTCACATTTGCAGGGACTCTTTTCATATTTGCAGGGGGAATGGAACCGATTTGCCTATCCAGTCCAACGAAGCTATGGCATTTCGGTGGATGAGTGGTCTGATCAACCACTTGTACCTGCAAAACTCAGTTTGAACTGTTGACCAAGCTGTTACACTGCGTTGTTTCGAATCTACACGGTTGCCACAATCTGTATTGCATGCATCAGAACCTTCCTCAGATTTTCGCCGAAACCATGTCGCCGACAGTATTATGATTTTTTGACATATTTTCGCCGAGATCATGTCGCCGATGAACTTTGGGTCATTTTGGGAAACAATCGCCGAAACATTATTATTTTGGATTTTCAACATGCTGGTCAAGACTTTGTGGACTCTGGTTAAAACTCCGTTTGACAATATTGGATACCCTACATCGTTTTCGAGAAGTACCTCATGTGGCTCCTTTATTAATCTAACGATCTAGGCTGGTTTGCATGTTTCAGGATTCAGTTCCTGCCGGATCATATAACGATCCATTCTTGTCTAGTGTGTGTTCATCAAGATTATGGTAGGGCATCAAGATGCATCAAGCTTGGAGGTGTCTTAATGGCTGGTGGATCCCCAGTCGTCACCACGGAAGTTTCAATACTAAAAATGCAAAATGGTCTAATGCTGCATGATTTCCAAAAACGTCTGTTTTTTAGACCTCCATATCTAGAAGATACAGAGATGTCTTCCTTTGAAGTCTCATCATCGTCGCACAGATTCTTTGGCCGCAGGATTCCTGGACGGATGTGTTTTTGGAGGCCATGTGTTTGCAGGTGGCCTGCATCTGTTTGCTGAGTTTGACCATGGAGATCCTTGGCAGAACGGAACCAGGGCATGGACAGCTAAAGGGGCACCTTTGAGGTGCTGCAGTCGGAAAATTCTGGATCTAGCCTCTGGTGATGTCAAAATAGCGACATAGAAAATGGTCCAGTCGAAATAGTGAGTTGTCCCATTAAAAATGGTGATTTTCCATAGTTTTTTGTATGTTTACCAGAGGGTACCCCTTGTTTTGATGTGGATGACATGATCATGACATCTATCCTTCACTTTTTTGGTGGCACAGTTGTTGTGGATCGCCATTGAGGATTAGTTTCCACACCTTCAAAAACGAGGCGCGGCAACAAAGAGTTGGCGCTGTTTTTTTTGTGAGGGAACTCCCTTGAGGTCGGTGACTATCAAAACAACCAGGTATTATCATGGAATTCGCAAATTTGTCTAATGTGTGAATCTGTGTTAAGTTTTTGACCACCTGGTTGAAAAAGGTTAAAACTGCAGCATGGCCACATAAACTCTGCTGCAGTGCCAGGAGTTTGCGAAACAACTCAGTTTCCAGTACCGATGTAGTTTCCCTGTCTCTTTGGCAGCACCGCTTCTGGGTGTTACTATCCCTTTTTGGGGGACAGGTCGTATAGCCAGGGTGAAATGGATATGGAATGCTATAGATATGTTATGATGGAGCACGTTTCTCCTTTGACGACCAAGTCTACTTCGTGTCACAGACATGGGATTCCATTGCGGTTCTATGATTTTCTCCAAAAAGACTGGATACCATGGATACCAGATACCCCCAAGAAAAAACAATTTGGAAATTGGGAAACTGATGATAAACCAGGTCCACACCATTTTTGGACACACCCTATCTACATGAGCTATGACAGCTATGAAGATCTTCTGTTCGCATTGAACGATCATCACATTGTTTGCCCTTGAGCCCTGCGAATTTTGTGAGGTCGTCTCTTTGGTGATTTACGTCATTCTCATCAGTTGCACTTCAGGAGAACTCAATGATCTCTGCACTTACTTGGTACCTTGGACGGGGACGGAGGATGGAATTCCAAGGATGGTGAAGGTGTTTGTTCAGGTGATGGTTACCAGTCACTTGGGTTGAAAATTGTACCGTTTGACTCGTTTGTTTCACATTTCGCTTGAAACATGTTGAAACATGTTGAAACATGTTGAAACATGTTGAAACCACCAAGCATCAGAATTTCATGCCATTAATAGGTCTTCAACCATTCTTCAGATGACCCCCAGGTGATCTGACTTCGTGACTTGTTGATGTGACAGCTCAGGTGACCAGTTCCATGATCTCTTCCGAAAAATCTGTCCTTAGGAGAAGTATGGGAGCATCAAACTCCTGTAAAGAATCAGAAGTAGCTCGATTTCACCAGTTCAATTTGGGAGATCTTCAGGATCCTAAGTCATGGAAATACGTAAATTGTACCATATATTTTTGGCCATATTTTGCTGGGAGATTCCCTGAAATTAAGGCCTTATTAATGTCGATTCCCAAAACCCAACATTTCCCCATAGCCATTTGGTAATGACTAACAGTCTGCTATGGAAAATCATCATTTTTCATGGGAAAATCCACTATCAATGGTGGAAAATCATCATTTTTCATGGGAAAATCCACTATCAATGGTGGAAAATCATCATTTTTAATGGGAAAATCCACTATCAATGGCCATTTTCAATAGCTTTTTGTATGTTTACCAGAGGGTAGCCATCTGCGATCTGAAAATCCGTCAGATTCGTTCCCTGGTGGCTGTGTTGATGGCCGCTCGACCGATTTCTGAAGGGGGGTATGGGTTGGGTCGCAGTGCAGGTAGAATGTGGTAGATCACCTACCTTGGTAATGCGAATAAAGCAATAATAAACCACCCATATGTTTATGATTTATGCCACCCATGTATGCTAAATTTGGGGATTGTTTACTAATTATTGCTTTACTAACACTAATTAGATAATTGTTTGGTTGGTGAATGATTTTTTTTAAACCATAGGTGGAGGAATCAAGTATCTCAATCCATATCCCACCGAACCTCCTGTTGTTTTGAAGGATTCCAGAGAAGCACGGCATGTCCAAGCGGAAGTTCTTCAGATGCTACCGCTGCTGTTCCATAAAATCTTCACCTTGCAGGTTGCTCTTCTAGCCGCTATAGATCAATGATAGCAATCTTTTGGTGGCTAAGTTACCAAAAACATCCAAAAACGGTACCTGGGCTGTTTGAAGCAACCCTGATCGAAAAAGATCCGCAAAGATCCGAAACGCATTCGAGGTGTTGAACTTTGCCAGGATTTATCGGAAGCCAGGGAGCCACAGTTGAGCTGCTATAGATCACCATTGGTGTTTCACGAATTCCCCACGTTTGATTGGCGAAGTCAATGTGAATCATTGTGAGTCCAATTCTTCCAATTCGAAATCCCAATCATAGTCTCCTTTTCCCATTGGTTGGTTGATTAATAGAGGGGTTTGAAGAAACCCCTTTAACAACAGGTTTCTATGATGATAGATGGTGTACCAAACCGGCCTTCTATTTTTACCGAAAGGACATTATGGATCAAACATGACTGTTATTTTCCATAGTATATGGGATAATCCTTCCCATCCAATTGACTAATATGGTTGGAACCACCAATATTGACTTTCATATTTTTCAGAGGGATTGAAACCACCAACCAGTATCCAATTGTTCCATTTTTTTGTTCATGGCTACGAGCCCACTTGTTCATGTTGCAGAAAACTGGATTCCCTGGCCTCATTGTTGACTCTCTGAGATCCCATTGTTGATGGTTATATCCCACTATCCCATTATAAACAATCGTGGCTGATAGTGCAATATGTAGCATTTTATCCCAGCCATTATACACACCATGGTATTATCTCCCTTAAATCCTATTATCTTATTGTTTATCTCAGACATTATAAACAATCCAGGAAATCTCTGATGTTTGTAGCAAGAAAACATGGTTTCCGGTGAAGATGTTCCTTTTATAATCCATCCACTTTCATATATTTTTCACCCATCGTTCATATTGATGTCCCTAAGTTTTAACCATGGTTTCCCCACAAAAATGTATGGTGAAATCCAATAAAAATCCCATTCTGCCAATTCTACTTATTGATGTTTAAATCCTACAGTATTAAATACTATTACCCTCTGGTAAACTAACATAGCTATGGAAAATCACCATTTTTTCATGGGAAAATTAACTATTTCTATGGTCATTTTCAATAGCAAACTGTTAAATTACCAGAGGGTATCCCAGTGTGGATGCTGAAATCCGAGCAGATCCCATGGCTTTTTTCCGCCCTGAGGTTGAACCCCCGCCCGGCCGAGACTCCTGCGGCAGCTGCGGCGCCGGCGGAAGCGGCGGAAGGCGAGGGCAAGTGAGGTGCGGAGCGGCGGAGCGGCGGAGCGGGGTGCGGCAGACGGAGGGAAGGATGGGAAGAAAAGATGGAAAGGACGACTGATCATGAAAAATGTGATGTTATGGGAATAGAATATGATGAAATATGATATTTCAACATGGAAAGGACTGATACAATCTGATACAATCTGATATAATGATGTTATAGTGAATAGTGAGATGTGATAGGGATATCATTTTTTTAATATATGATCTTACGATGATCATACAAGGATTGTGATGTTATGGGAATATAATGTGATATTTCATGATGGTTAGATTGTGAGGAATCATCCCCAATGACCTTATTGAAAGGGATAAGCAACTATAAATAGTACGTAATTTTAATAATGATAATAATAAACAGCAATACTGATATCAATTAAGTAATTAGTAGTACTACATGGATATCAATAAGAACATCCAAGTTAAATGGGAACTTCATCGATGGTTTCAAATACAATGGGGATATATATATATATATATTTGGTACATGATGATTTTTTCCAGCTTATTTTCGAAAAAGATGATTCGGATTTTTCCATGGGACAGTATCATGGGAAGAAAATGAGTTTTTTCATCATGCACCATGTGGTGTTTTTTTCCGTGATGTTTCTTGGTTTTTTTAAGTCCATGACCGGCCCAGATATATGGTGATGGGTCTTTAAACCTACCAGCAACCAATATCAACCAGCTATGACTTTGGATACACAATTTGGGTACCAGGCTTTTGACCAATAACCATATCGAATACAAAATTACATAATATAGAAATCAAAGTTAACCACCTGTTTGGTAAATGAGGAGTTTTGAGAGAATTCAGGGCTTTTTTCACCACGATTTTCAAAAAATAGATATAGTCAGTAGGATAAATCACTTTTTGGAGACGCTATCTAGACCATGGGGTTTAAGTGTGCGTGCAATCGTCCCAAGATCATCAACCATAGCAGAATCATGCTGGAGAAAACGAAAAGTACGATCCATTGTTTTCGAGTTGGGATACCATAGTCTTCACTATAATCAGCTAAAACTATATAATAGTAACTATGGTCTGGAGCTGGTATGCCCCTTTTTTAGCTAAGAAATCAGCTGACGGGATGACGTTCACCCTCTGTGCAGGCGACAAAGCCCAGATCGGCGCAACAATGGCAATGCGGAAAAACGGAAAAAACGGCAAGGCTCTGTCAACTTTGTGATGAAGCATGATATTATAATGGTGAATACTGGTAAATAATGGTGAATACTGGTAAATCATGGTGAATAGTGGTTATATGTGGTCATATCATGTTTTATCCATAGAGCATTTATGAATCACCCTAGTATTTAATGGTTAAATGCTTATTTAAGACGGAAAGTTTTACTGAATCAGTGCTTAAGACTGCGATGAATATGGATTGTTCTCCGGTGTTATGAATCGTGGCTGAAAAATCCCAGCTCTCAACATGGAGGTTTCTGTCGCTGGGAAAATCATCGAACTAAATGTGGGATTGTCCAGCCACGTGACTGATGACCGGATGGTAAATTGACAGGTAAATCCGGTTTTTTTGGGCTTAAATTTCTTAAACTAAAAATTATACACTTAAACTAATGTGGTTAAAACACAGCAATTTGCACCATCCCCCAGTCATCACCATTTTTATAGGTGGTATAAACCATTCCCAGTCATGGTTGGTAAAAATGGTCCAATTCTGGTCGTGACTGGGAAGGCGATGTCGCCCCATCCTCCTGGTCTTGATGGGCGGAAAGTCATGGGAGCGGTTTGAAAATCGCCTGGTGAATTGATTGAGGATCAAAAAACTAGCATCTGTTTATTTAACATAGCCATGGAAAATCACCAGTTTTAATAGGTAAACCATCTATAAATGGACCATTTTCCATGGCTATGTTAAATAACCAGAGGGTAGCTGGTTTAATGGCTCATTGAACTTTCAACCAAAAGTGGGAACAGATCTAGCGAAAATTGGCACGGTAGCACCAAACGAATTTTCAAAGAATGCCATCCCTACGAAAAACACCCCCATTCTGTGGTCCCAGTTGTGATTTCATCCCAGCCATGATTACTACTGGGTAGATCCTTGTTGAGTGATCCTTGATGAATCCGATTAAATCCATGGGTCTGGGTAAACCTTTGAAAAAAGGTTAGTTCGATGGTTGGTGTGTTTCATTGCTGAAAGAAGAGTGGCATCCAAAAATGACCTGGCTTTTTGTGTTTTTGGGTGTCTAAGATTGACCATGTTTGATGAAGATGAACTTTCAACATCTTTCAACCACAAAATTTCAAAGCTGACACCTGAAGTGCTCAGGAAATCCAAAAAAAGTATAACGGGTGGAGGGAGACCTGCCACTTTTGTCGCCTGAAGCGTGGCTGCCATTCCGCAGCCCTTGAGGCTGAGTCCTATGCATCTGCTGTTTCAACATCCAAAAGTACCGAAGTGGACTCGCACATGGTTTTTCCATTATTCTATACTTTCAAGAATACATATATTTATACAGTATATATATATATCATATGTAATAGGAACAGATATATATATATATACATATATCTCATATGTAGATAACCAGCATCCATCATGCTAAGCATCCCCAAACAAAAATCTCGACATCGGAGATCAACATCAACATCTCTTGGGCTTTGCTGGTACAATCTTTCCTTGTTCTGCCATGGGCGTTGACCGTCTCCGCTAGTTCTTAGAGGCAGTGGCTGCCCCGTGCCCCGGCTCTTGCGTTTTGCTTTCGCCGACTTCCATGGGTTGCCAATCTCTGGGGAATCAGAAACCTGGCTAGACTGAAAATTGAAAACCCAATGGATTCTGGAACAAATTGAAAAATCTCACAATCTCAATGATGTTTTTTCAGTTGCCCCAAAAATTGACAAAACTCAGGAAACTTGAAACTGTGATGTCATATCCTGTTCAAAAGTACATGGTTTCGTAAAGACAGCTGCAGACAGTCGCTATTGAGCTTGGCTATTGAGCTTGGTCAAATCCTGTATCCCATGCTGCAAAGGAGTGACCAACACAAGTACTTGGGGCTGCAGTTGGGGTATAACATGGTATAACTATGGGATTCTAAGCTGCAAAGTTGGGGTATAATCCCTACAACTATGTGGACTATGTGTATGTATAACCCGCAAAAAATGTCGTGGAATTCGTGGTTCATTGCACCCCCAAGACATCAAGGACACCGTGAATGATTGTCCCATGCAACAATCACAGGGTCACAGGGTCGGCTCCGTAGATGTTTGGAGTATCATCCAAACATTCCCAGAACTGCTTCAGTCGGGGGACATTTGCAAAATGGCTTTACCCTCTGGTAAACATACAAAAAACTATGGAAAGTCACTATTTTTAATGGGTAAATCCACTATAAATGGCCATTTTCAATAGCTATGTTAGTTTAGCAGAGGGTATATTTGGATGTAAAAACATGTTTTCGACACATTTGTGTTCCCTTAAACCCAATCGAAAGATGGATGGTTTTTGTCATGTTCGATCTGTGTGGGATGTGAACGTTCGATCCCCTCCCGTCGAGAAATGGCCAGGTGATCATTCACCCATGGGAATTGGTATAGTCAATACATCTCAAAGGAAACCCGTATTGTGTTTTGATTACCAGTCCCCCTATATGTTTGGTGTTGGCCATGGAAGAAGTGAGCATTCGGGTGAGTACAAACCGGGAAGAGTCAGAATTAAGTCTAGGACAAAAGCGAAATGGCGTGATCTCAAAATTATGGACACAAAGATCACAAAAGTAGCAAATTTCATAGGAAAATGCTGACAAAGCATGCGACATAGGCTTCCAAATCTAAAGAGAGACTCAAATGGGGGTTTCATAAGTCATAGGGGTACCCCCAAATCATCCATTTTTGGATTTTCCATGAAATAAACCAACCAGCTATTGGGGGATCCCAATTTATGGAAACCCCCAAATATCAGCAAATATGGATAGATGACCATCTTGGTCACGATCTGGTCGCGTCATCTTTGCAATGTTGGGGGACCAGGGTGAAAGACCATTCCCAAAGCGCGCCCTGCAAGTGGTTTTTACACTTGAAAAGGTCTAGGTGGGTTGTAGCCACACGCTTCGATGTTTCGACCATGTTTTTGGGGTACGGATTTTCCAATGTTTTCCCGCAAAACCTGAAACGTTCAAGAAATCATCAAACCACTAAGATGTAGATATGGGAAAGCAGGTAGGCGCAGGTTTCCACTTCCATACTGTGGATGGGCCAGCGAAATCCTGCAGCAGTTGGTAGATGATCCCATTACAATCCCATGATTCGCAGTTTTTTATAGAGGAATCCCAACAGTTACCAACTGAGCCATTAAAAATACCCTGGTTAATTGATTGCTATAGGGGATTATACTACCTGGTTTACTGGGGATTATGATAACCCATAGTAGGGAAACCTATCAACCAAGTAGTATAATCAGATGGGATAGGGGTATTTTGTATGGCTCAACTGGTGCAGGATTTCTTCCATCCACAATGTTCTGGTTGGTGGTTTGGAACCATGGACTGTTATGACTTTCCATATATTGGGAATAATACTCCCAACTAGCTTTCAGATTTTTCAGAGGGGCTGAAACCACCAACCAGTAGTTGACTAGATCTTGAGGCTAACGCATTGTGGCTTGGACTTGGAAAGCCGTCATGGTTTGAGATTGGTATCCAGGGGTATTGGTTAGATCTGTGTACCAAAAAAAATAGACGGCTAATCCTGAAAATGACCACAAAGATTGCTGGTCTTCGGCTCTTGCAGGTTCATCCATAGCTATTTGCTGAGTGAGGGTAATCAAACGTGGCATTGAGAATCCCCTATAAATGGAAATTTGCATGGGAATAGCATCGAACTAAATGGTGGATTTCCCACCGCCAAGTTTGATTACCGGATGGTAAATATTGACATGCAGGGACAGTGGCACACCGCAATGTCTTACAGTGTCCAGTATTGCCATGTTGAACGCCGGGTTGTTCCGAGCGCCGTCCGTTTTAGCAACTGATCGATTCGTTCTTTGGCAAATCCCCAATTTTTGTTCTCCCAAATTCAACCGCTGAATGAATCCAAGCTTGACATTATGGCACATTGCAGACGTTTCAGCAGCTCGATGATTAAAAAAACACTGCAGGATAAAGATGGGTTCCTGCGATTTCCAGAAGGTGTTGGTCTCTGCCTGTTCTGCTTTTTATCCCACTGAATCCCATGACATTGGGCCAAGAGTTAAAGCATTGAGAGCCGCGTTTTGGTCATATTTCAACCATCCCTGGTTTGGTACCCAATCAAGACATTTTTTGAAACATACATACATAATAGGCATATGTATATCTACTAGAGATAGAGAGAGAGAGAGAGAAAACTAAAAAATTACGAAATTGTCTACCCTCTGGTAACTCAACAGTTTGCCATGGAAAAATGTCATGTTTAATCGGAAAATCATCTACATGTGGGCCATGCATGGCTTCCATCGCTCAACGCCCTGGGTAGGCCATGCCGGACAGTCACGGAGAGGTACGGACACCAGAGGCGCGTGCATCGTGAGGTTTCAACAGTTGGGGGAGATCATGGAGACATACTTAGTATATAATTGGGGAATATAATGACGATATAGTTGGGATAATATGGGATATACTTGGGGATATAGTTGGGAATAATATGGATATAATTGGGGATAGAGTTGGGATATAATTATCCATACTTGGGATATAATTGGGGATATAGTTGGGAATAAAACTGGGAATGGAGATCAAAGCGGGACGTGTTTGTAACCAATGAATTATTTCAGCACCGTTCCACCACCGTGAACCGTCCACGCTTCGTCACAGTTGACAAAACGCAATTGAAAACAGGGTGCCATGTCTGATTAAACTTATTAAAGTCAGATTTGTATCTACAAAACCTGGGGTACCCCCATATTAAACCCTGGGTAATGGCAAGCCCGATATTAAAATGTGTTTCTTTGAAAATAGGCTACCCCCAATTCCAATAGCTTATCATCACCCCATGAAGCCATGGTCATTTGAAAGATCTTGAGCCGTGACCGCATACAATATCGTTTGTATGTGATTGTATATGTGTTTGTGTGTATATTGTATCTGCACTACAATCTCTCAATACATACTATGTCTACTGTCTATATAACGTATAAATAGAGATATATATGTACAAATATCTATACATACATATATATATATTGATTGACCCATGTAATGCTTATAACGTGAAAATCATATTCTGGGTTCCTGGGCGCTATTTCTGGGTTCCTGGGCACTAATTCTATGTTCTTTCATGGTTCTGGAACTAAAGTGCTGTGGAAATAGAATTTGACTTTTGCAATGTCCAAGTTTGGGTTCCTTTGACCATAAGGGGTTCGGCTATCAGATTCTTAACCCAGAACCGCCCAGGATTGCCCAGGACTTCCCAGGACTACCCAGACACTGCCCAGGTACTACCCAGGAATCCTGGAACAGTTATGCTAAGCATTGCAGAATTATAATGCTTATCGTAAGTGTCACCGAAACGGTTTGGCGTCTATAATGCTTGGCGCAACTGTCAGGTCGATTCCTGGGTAGTACCTGGGTACTAACTTCTGCCAGGATGTACTTCAACACTACCCACGAATCATCTCCAAGTTGTGACATGCATTAGACCGCGCTACTGAGCTATCCCAAGCACCAGATGTCCTAGTTTTTGAGTGGTCAAGCCCCCACTTTCTTGATTTCCAGCCCCTGGCCGTGCCAGCCTCGGTGCCGCGCACCGTGTCCCAGTTTTTTCCCACGTTATAAGCATTACGTGGGATAATCAATATATATATAATCATATTATACACATATATATATATAGATAGATGCAGATGTTCAGGCCATATTCATCAGTCAAATGTGCAAAAGTATGCAGAAGTCCTCAATGGATGCTTCCTTTGAAAAATGTGTCCGTTTTGAATACTGGCTTTCCCATGAACGAAAAAGGGTGCCACATGACTTAAAAGACCCCCGAGCAGTTAGACTCCAAATTCAGCTGTATACGATATAGTGGGTTTATCATGGGATGTCATAGGATATATGGATATATAATGGCAATGCAATTATGTATACCCTCCTGTAATGACTAACAGTTTGCGACATAGATAGCATGGCCCATAGATAGCATGGCCCAGTCGAAATAGTTGATTTACCCATTTTCATAGCATGGTGGATCTTTCCATCGTTTTTTGGGACTGTTTACCTCAGGGTAACCATTATTAACCAATATTAACCATAGATTAACCATAGATTAACCATAGATTAACCATCGAGGATATACACATTATACACACACCCAGCTCGATGTTATCAGCTCGATGGCAACCAACAGCCATGCTGAGGATTTCTGGGATTTCCCAGCCACGTTGGATTGACGGCGGTTCGTAAGCGACTTATGACTACCCCATTGGTAAACATACAAAAAGCTATTGAAAATGGCCCATTTATAGTGGATTTACCCATGAAAAATGGTGGATCTTTCCATAGTTTTTTGTATGTTTACCAGAGGGTATCCCCATTGTCAACTAGATTATATAAGTCGCTATTATAATCTGTTATATATTATATATTATTATTGGTTGGACTATTACTATAATTACTATACCATTATTTAATATACCTGGGGGTTTGGAATCCCAACGAAGTCTGGTTGCATTGTCAATAATCCCAGCTGACGAAGTCATATTTTATCTACCCTCTGGTAATTTAACATAGCTATTGAAAATGGCCATTTATAGTGGAATTTCCCATAAAAAATGGTGATTTTCCATTGCTGTGTTAGTTTACCAGAGGGTAAACCCCGTGAATACTATAGTTATATCTACCATAAACCATAGTTATCACCAATATTATCTGATTGGTAGTTTGGAACATTTTTGACATGTTTCCATTCAGTTGGGAATGTCATAATACCAGCTGACGAAGTCCATCATTTTTCAGAGGGGTAGGGCTCAACCACCAACCAGTCATGATCATCAATATCCCCATCTCGTTGGTTTTCATGTTGCTTATCCCATCAATCCCATCACCACCGAAACATCACCGCATTGTAACACGCCTTTGGGACGCGACGAAAATTCCAGGTGATTTCTCATGCTCTGAAAAATCTGGATGCTGCGATCTCAGGGTGTCACCGTTCGTGTCACCGTTCGTGTCACGGTTCGCGCAACTGTTGCGCAACTGTTGCTTGGTGACGGGATGATAATCTCATGATGTGCCCAGTGTCAAACATGGCCGGGAAATCCTCGAACTCAATGGGCATTAAATGGGAAAAGATCTTGAAATGGGAGATGTTCCATTGCCATGTTTTATTACCAGAGGGTAACAAGCAACAGAAGCTGCATAACCCTGTATAACCTGCAGAATCATGGAACGAAATGTAAACCAACCATGATACAAGAGTGATGTTGGTGATGTTGGTTGAACCAGCACCACGGTCTGGCAAGACAGTTTCAAATTTGTGCGTTGTTTGTTTTTATCCAGAGATGGATGGGTTACTTAACCAACATGGGAATACACTGGCTTTAGCCAACCATTTCTTGGGGGTTTATAGTGGGAAATATGGATATATCATGGCAATTGAGATATAATGGCAATTATCCAGAGATTTTTATGAGTTTCCCTCTGGTGCAATGGTTCACATCTCCCATCTAAATCATGGATGCTTCGGGGATTTCCCAGCCATGTTTGATGGCCGGAGGGCAACGAGGTGGAAAGTTGCCATGGCTTAAACGAAGTTTTCCCATTGGGAGAATGATCCATCCATGAAAAAATATCCAGTTCGAAGGGGTTACTAACCAGTTAGCTAACTAAGATGACCCATCTAGGTATGAGACTTAAGAGGTCATGATTTCCTGGATCCACGGTTGGCTTTCGTGCCACAGGTGCACTTGATCCATGGTCCATAACTCAACTATACTCAACTAATATCCATTAATTATCATTAATTGGGATATCCTCCATTCATTGCTAGCAACAATATATTCAATTATACTGGGAGATTGATAATCATGATGGATATTAATGGATAATCCCCCATTCATATGGACCAACACCCAAAAGTCACCATGGTGGTTTAGTAGGAGATAGAATCACACATGACTGGGACCATTTATAATATGGGTGGTGTAACTAATCAACGGGTGATGGATGAATATCCATTTTCCATCATGATTAGTATCCCCATAGTTGATTTCAATATGTATATATTATATATACATATATGCATATGTATATATTGTAATATATATATATATGTGGTTACTGTAGAAGCCATGAATATCAATTAATTTCCCATGGTTTCCTAATGATAAATGCACCTGCCAACTGAAAGATGTACGGCAAGGCAAATTCCGGAGCGAACCTTTCGAACTTGGGAAATTCCCCAGGAATATTGGGTATATTCGGTACATCCCATTTCTGGACAAATCAATATTTCGAATTATTGATTGGTTGTGTGTGTATACCCATATATATATATATATATATGTGTGTATGTTATGTATAAGTGTATATACTGTATATATTCATATATATATATATTCATATATCGAGATATCCCAGGAAACAAATTACTTTTATGCTTGTTGAGACCCCGCGTGATCTCTTATTTTTATTCCCTCAGCGACAGAGCCGTCGATGAGGATGCGGCTTTGGTGCGAGTGCTGGGAAATTTGATGAGCTCCCATCCGCAAGTGGCATGGGACCCGGTGGTAAATGGATGGTTTTTAGCCATAAAATGGCCAGAAATTCTGGGTACAAAACGATGATTACACTATAAATGATGATTATAAAGATGGATTGTCAAGGAAAATCATCTTAAAACAGAAGGGGTGGATATAATTTTAGGAACCAAGAATGCCCTGAAGAATGGGAAAACTCGCCAAATGATGTCACCAGTTTCGAGCTATCAGTTCTCTGGAAAAATCCTGTGTCGAAGGCATCAACAGTCTGGGATTGATGGTGTTTAATGGGGTTTAATGGGGTTTAATGGGATGTAGTGAAATTTAGTGATATACCCTCTGGTAAACTAACAGTTTGCGACATAGAAAATGGCCATAGAAACAGCTGATTTACCCTTTAATAATGGTGATTTTCCATAGTTTTTGGTATGTTTACCAGAGGGTACACGGTGATTTACACTTTGGATTCTTGTTGGGCAAGAAGTGCATCAGCACAATAGTAAACCTATAGAAACTTGCTCTTATGGGCCTCATGATAATTGAACGTTAGCCAAATACATATGTATATATATATATATATGTATATGTATATATATATGTATATATATATTGGTATATATATATACATATACATTATATACATATATTTATACCATATATATATAGATATATATGTAACATATATATATATACATAACATAGATATAACGTATATATATATATATTCTCCTGAAAGTCATAAATAGTTGTTTTAACGTGATGTCTTTTCGTGTATGCTCCTCAAATCATCCCATTTTCAGTGACTTCACGAGGGGGTTTTTCGTGTGAATCATCCCAAACATCCGTGGCTTTCGATTTTTGAGGCTGCGTTGACCGGCTAAGTCGCGAGAAGATGCAGGGAGGAAAGATTCTCAGTCGACTATTGATTCCCTGGAGGAAGCCGTCCTACGGGATACTGCCCATGTCAACGGCGAAGCCGTTTGCTTACATCCTCTGAATGACATTACTCACGTACCTCATGAAGCACCCTGAGGAGTCGTTGACAGGGTGGCTGCGGCTCATGCATTCCACGGCCATGACCTTTTGAAGGCGAGAATTCGTGCTTTGTCAAGAAGTTCAGGGACCCTGCTATCCGTAAGGTAAGGATCTTTTGTTTATCCCAAAACAGCCAGCATCCGCGATCTCCCCAAAAAAATTGTGGCAGACAGGCCGGAGGACAACGTGATGTTGATCCAACGATACCCGGCTCTCCGGAAGAAAGGTGGTCATGTGTTTTGAAGGCAGTGAAGCTTGGTTTCACCCAGCAAGAACCGGTAACCGGTATTCTTCTCTCATTGTGCTAGTGGTCTTTTTATTTTTTTGCAATTATACAAAACATGGCTGTACTTGGTGTCGCTGCCCCTTGGTGCCGCTGTGTTTGTTCAACTTACTTGGTGTTTTAGGGCTGGTGTTAAACAATTCAAGTTGTATGTATATATATATACATACATACATACATATATATATATACACATATACATATATAGATACATTATATATATATATACACATTATATATAATTATGTACATTATATATATATATACATTATATATATACACATTATATATATACAATAGATATATATGTATACATTATATATATATATGTGTGTGTGTGCACAGATAGATAGATAGATTGGATTGGATTGAATTAAATAGATACGAAGCGCCAAAGTCATGTTGAAGGTGAGGCGCCAACGAAATCGCAACACGTTGACGCATACAACTTGGGCAACGTGTGCGTCTATAGAGGGGATATTACTATATTCCTATACTCAATGCTGTTTACAAAGCAAATTATAACTGGAGGGTCCACTTGAGGGTGCCTGGGGTCAGTCCCATAAACTGTATAAACCATAGTATAGCTATGACCATTAATGGGTATAATTATGGTAACAATCTATGTGAATAGCTATGGTACTAACTATTAGTCTTGAGGGTACCAGGTCTTAACAAGTATTACCCTCTGGTAAACTAACAGTTTGCTATTGAAAATGACCATCGAAATAGTGAGTTTTCCCATTAATAGCATGGTGACGTTCCATGGTTTTTTGTATGTTTACCATGTCGGGTAACAAGTATAACTATAGGATAAAGATTCTAACCTCCACAAGCTGAGGGGCGCCCAAAAAAAAGTTACGATGGCCTTTGCCCCGCTGGCCCTGAGGCCCCTCGCATCGTCAACATGGCTCTTCCAGAGTTGACCTTTGTTCCTGGCTGAGGGGAATTGAAGCAGCAAAAAATCCATCGGGTGCTTGATGGAAAATCAATGGAAAATCCCATGGAAAATGATGATTTATGGAAAAACAATGAAAAATCCTATGAAAAATATGGATGATGTGGAGGTTTCCAATGTTTCCATAGTCAGGGTAGCCCGAAAAAAAATGATTTTTCCTTTAATGGAAAGTTCCAGTAAAATGGATGATTCGGGGTACAACCTCCATATAGTGGGATTGTGCTAAAATATATACCAGTAGTACCGCACAAGGCGGTGGCGGAAGTTTCAAAAACAGGAAACCTATAGGAAGGGTTGGTTGTTCTGACTCACGGATGGCAGAGCAAATCCACTGATGGACCGAAAGGTGGTTGGAGTTGTGTTTTCTGGAGTGGTTGCAATGGTTGCAGTGATCACCTCACCACAACTGCTGGATGTAGTGTGGTGTAGTGCAGTTGTAGTTGTAGTTGTAGGTGTAGTTGTATTTGTAATGTGGTGGAGTTGTAGTTGTAAGTTGTAGTTGTAATGTAGTGTAATTAGCGTAGTGTAGTTGCAGTTGCAGTTGTAGTTGGTGTGGTGTAATTAGTGTAGTGTATTGTAATGTGCTGTAGTGTTGTGTACTGTAGCGTGGTATAGTGTAGTGTAGTCTAGCGTATTGTAGTATAATGTAGTGTAGCTGTAATTGTAGTTGTAGCTGCTGCGGTGGTGGCGGCGGCGGTGGTGGCGGTGGTGGTGGTGGTGGCAGTGGCAGCGGCAGTTGCAGTTGCTGTTGTAGTAGTTGCTGTTGTAGTAGTTGCTGTTGTAGTAGTTGCTGTTGCAGTAGTTGTAGTGTCATTAGTGGGGTGTAGTATAATTAGATGTAATTAGTGTAGTGTAGTGTAATTAGTGTTGTGTAATGTAGCGTAGTATATTTGTAGTTCTAGTGGTAGTGTAGTGCAGTGGTACCTGGAGTTGTAGTTGTAGTTGTAGTTGCAGTTGTAGCTGTCTATCTATCTATCTATCTAGCTATCTATCTATCTATCTGCAAGCTTGAAAACGAAGCTATCCTGCGAGACTTCCTCAGTTTTTGAACTTGACAACATCAAAAACGCAATTCTGCGAGACTTCCTCATTTTTTGAAGTTGGCAACATCAAAAACGAAGCAATTCTGCGAGACTTCCTTCAAAAATGGAAAGTTGAGTGCAAAGCTGACGGCCTCGTACCAATGCATTCGGCGATTTTTCCACTCCACCTGTCTAAAGTACTGCGCCTGCCACGAAAAAGTGATGGCACCTGTCGCGCAAAACCATCTCCGCAAACCTGAAGATCTGATGCTCCAAAATGCAACGCAACCCCTCTCAGGAAATCAGCGCCCTGACCTCCTAACATCTCTCATGAACATGTCTTTTGTACTGCGCCTGCCACGCGACGTGCATCTTTGAAGATCCTCTTCAAATGTCCCACGCCTGCCATCGCTTTTGGAAATGCTACAAATCCCTCACGTTTTGCTCACTTTTGACAAGGTGCACAAACCCTTGCGCCTGCCACGCGAAACGACATCTGAAAGTCCAAAAGTGGTCCATTCCCCCTCAGTTTTTTCCACTTTTGACTTCGAAACGTGCTTCGCGCCACAACAGTGTGCACTTTTTCGACATCTCAACTGCCAAAAGTGGTCCGGAGCTGGTGTGTCTTGTACATTTTGACTTCAAAATGTGCTTTGCGCCACAACGGCGTGCACTTTTTCGACATCTCAACTTCCAAAAGTGGTCCGGAGCTGGTGTGCTTTGTACATTTTGACTTCGACATGTGCTTGGCGCCACAACGGCGTGCACTTTTTCGACATCTCAACTTCCCAAAGTGCTCCGAACCCGTCAGTTTTTTACACTTTTGACTCTGAAATGTGCTTCGCGCCACAACCGCGTGCAATTTTTCATCTCTCATCTGGCCAGCTGGCTCCGCACCCGCCGCTTTAGCGAGCCTATTTTTCGACCCTCCGGAGCCACAAATCATTGTAAAAACAGACTGTTTGGCGGCTTTCCTACCTTTTCGCGCACTGCACCTGGATCTTCTTTCTTCTCAGTCTTTCTCTTTTTGATCTTCTTTCTTCTTCTCTCCTCTTCTCTGACTCTTCCCATCTCTGCTTTTCATCTGTCCATATTGTCGGAAGTTTGACTTCTAAACTTCCCAGAACAAGCTGGGGAAGCTACCAACCAACTCTACTATGTGGTATGGTTTCAAAAAAAATTGCACGGCTCTGCTTTTGCTATGATGATTTTGTATTAATTTGCATTGATGTTGTCGCAGCGAAATGCTGGGGTTTCATGATACATCAGGATGGACACTGGCATCCCCTGGTCTCATACACCACCGTGTATAGCAAGGAACACATCATGTTATACCAGCACGGACACATGCAAAACACGCAAGTACTAATCCGTTAATTAGGGATTAATATCTCAAAATGGCGACAACCCCTTACCACTTAATTAGGGATTGAATGATACTAATATAGCGGGATTGTATCAAGAAAAACATGGGAATCACCTATATTGATTGGTATTATTTAATCCCTCATTAATGGGTATATGAATGGCCATTTTGAGATATGAAGTCCTAATTGGTATGTCCCCTGATATCCCTTTTGTTAAAACATTATTGAATAGGGCTTTGTTTTACCCATTGATATGTGCTAAGTAATTGACTCCCAGTCTAGTGGGGTTGTACCAATAAATCCCTGCTAGGGAAAATCCTTATAGTTGGTAGATAAGCAATAGATGGCTGCATATTAATGGATTGATGATATAGTACCCTATATCAATATTTATTGGTACTACCAGAAAATCGCTAACTAATGAATTGATGACTGCTGGGAATTGTATTAACCAATGTATTATAGGGGATTATACTGACCCAGGTTGGTTATAATATACATGGCTAGCTGGAAAATCCATTACAAATGTAGGTTTTAAATGGGAAAAACATCGAACTAAATATGGGATTTTCAATCAAACCATGTTTGATTACCCTACTAAATTGTTTATTTGGGATTGCTGCAACTTTTTATAACCCATTATAAATGGTTTACAGCATTTGGGAATATTTTGGAGTGTAATCCATAATTATTGTAAGATATGTTTAGGAATAATTACAAACCAGCACAATGGGATGGAACGGTTGTATTTTTCATGGCTCAATTGGATATGAAACCACAAAATTTGGGATGTGAACGCCCCTATCCAAATTACCATCAACCTTGGCTATGTATATAATGGGATCACCCATGTTTTTGGTCGATGACTATAACTATAACGTTTAAAACCATCAACCAACCAGAAGTTTGGGGATGATCATCCATTTAGGGCAATTTTAACTCATCCCAGGGATCTAAGCTCCCCTTCATACCTTTCCAGAGAAAAATCTCCAGTAGCCGATGGCCGATGGTGAAATTGTTGATTTTTTGTAGTAAAATATCCAGATTCTCCAGATTTGCTCTTCTCTTTTCTCCTTGTCTTTGCCCTTGCTCTTTGGTTTTGCTTTGTCCCTATTGCTGGCCTCTTGGCGAGGTGCGTCCCCCTTTTTGGCTCCTCGTGGATGCCCCCGTTTCTCTCCTCCGGCTGGCGTCCCTGGCCTCCATTGGTGCCCGCCCTCACCTCATATCCTCTGGTTCTGTTGTTCGCCCTATCCCCCCCATTTTGGGATTCGATCCTCGCTTCAAACCTGGTAGCCAACGCGTTGTGCTTACAGAGGCACCTCAAGGTGATGCCAGATTGCAGTCACGGATTGGTAATGATCCAGAACAAGATCCGGAGATGCGGAAGCACAATTACAAAAAAATCTACATCCATACTCAAGATGGTGTTGAGGTCTACCATCACAAAGGGAAGTATCAGATCAATGGGGGTGTCTTTCACTACTGGGCCTTCTATGAGTACCGACTCTATGTCAATGATGAGTTATGGAACATCATTGTCGATGAGAACATGAGCAATGTCCCAACACAGATGCCTGGCAGTAAGGCCACGGCTCTCACCCATGATTTCTGCCATTTGGACAGCAGTGGCAGTGATGAAGTGTATAGGAACTTCAGTTTTGAGGAGATGGAAGGACGTACAGTACCATTTTCCCTTTCTACTTGCCTGAAAATGAACACGATCAGTATTGGACCTGGGTCAGTCTCCCAAGGGTCATCTTACGAAGCGTGTGATGTGCTCCTCATCGCCATAGCTATGGATCTTGTGGAGTCCACAGTTTATCTAAATAGGGCCGTTTTTTGGGCATATCTCCGTCTTTCTTTGCATGTCAAAAGCGTGTCAAACCCAACTTCCGGCTCCAAAGTTGCTGGTGAAAATCGGTGGATTATCCTTCTTATGTGCTGGTTCCATAATGGTCGTATATCTACTGGGTGGTTATTACAAGTAGCTACCTCGTTGGAGCTAAAGATTATTATGTGCTGAACTTCAGCTCCGGCCCGTCGCAACGCTGAGTTGCCAACCAAAGCTCTGGTGGCCAAGCGTTCGCTGGGCGTGATCGTCCAGGTGAGAGTTGTCGGAATCTGTTGGATTTATTGGGGTTTCATAGGATTTGGGGACCAAAAAGAGATTGGGTGAAATCGTGGATCATGTGATTTAGTGCTATAAGTGTATGGATTTCTCATGCAGAAAACTGTTGACCAAGAAATCGCCGTGTTTTTGGTAATCACATGTTTTGATGATGTTACGCATGTACCAAGCTAAAAGTTGCTGTACCCTTTGGTAAACCAACAGTTTGCTACAGCAAATCACAATGTTTAATAGCTAAAGCATCTAAATGAGCATTTTTCCATAGCAAACTATTGGTTTACTGGAGGGTATGTTTTTTGCAGAGTATCTCAGGTCCTTATGTCATTTTGGGTGTATAATTTTAGGCAGAAAACTTGGTGGCTGGATGGAAGGGATGGTGGGAACTAAGTCCCGTTGGGAATTGCCCTCTGGTAATTTGTTGCGGTTTGCAAACTGAAGACCATGGTCCATTTATATAATAATAAATATATATATATATACTACAGATGTTTTTGATGATTTTACTTTTTTAAAGATAGTTACTTTCCATAGTTGCGTTGAATTAGGACTTATTGTAGATCCAGATGAACAACCCTCTGCGACCATAAATCTCATGAGAGTCCATAAGTCCCGTGTTCAGGTACGAGTCAAAATGTGAGCCACCGATTCTCGCAATATAGTTAATTGTATAACTATATATATAGTTTTATAACTATACTATACATATGTAATTATACGCATATAGTTATATACAAAGTTATAGTTGTAGTTATACATAATAACTAGGTAAATTATTATTTAAGTATAGTAATATCCCCATTGGCTCTAGTTATATCCCCCAAAGCAACCATAGTTTATGGCATTGGGTTTCCCACATTAGCTTGTTCCAATATTGTCTTACATCCCACTATATTTTCAGTAAATCACCTTCGATAGTTGACACCCTGAAAAAAATGGGATCAACCATAGTTTATGGAACAAAAATAATAATAGTAATAATAGTAATAATACGGGCAAACCCCTCAGTTTGCCCGCGCCGACGCCGACGACATGTCCGAACATCAAAAAACACTGTGTTTTGTGGGACAAAATGCACATGTCCATGGTCATGATAATAGTAATAGTCATTCTCATAAGGAAAATGATGTTCAATCCTAGATAATCCATGATAATCCATTGGATTTAGGGCTAGCCTATTTCTAGACAACCCCATATAAATTGATAAATAGGATAAAAACAGGACATAGGGATAATGATTCCATACGTGTTTTTAACTTTTTGGATGATATCCCCAGCGACTATGGGGATGGATCAATGTCAAAAAAGCCATGAAGTTCACCACATCAATGGCCATTCTAGGATCCGATTTATTGGAGGTACCTACCATATATAAGGCCTATTTTTCAGGCCTTAATTTCAGGGGATATCCCCAGAAAATATGGCCAAAAATATAGTACAGTACCTCCAATCTGTTGGATCCTAAAAATCTCCCATTGATGCCATCGTTGCTCAGGTGGGCAACGATGGTGGGATGATCGAATGCCCAGAGCTGGAAGCGGCCTTTGGCTCGGCGGTCTTAGTTGGTAGGTCTGGGGCCTCGGGATCTTCGGGATCTCAGTGGGACTTCATCGGGATTTATGAGGAGATCATGGGGATTTTGGGAGATCAGGGGATTGAATGGTATTTTTCATGAATTTTATGATGATATGATGTGATGAGACTTAATGGTATTTTATGGGTTTTTTTCTGGATTCTATGGGGATACAATGAGATGTTCTTCATGGGTATGTTTCATGGATGGTGATTTTATGGTCAAAAGTTTAAATGTAACAAAACCGACAAAATTGTGGAGATTTGCCCTACAAAAATGGAAGAAAATCGCCTAAAATGATGATTAAACCAAACATCTTCATGAGGATATGGGATATGATGGGGATATCCTGGCGATATCACTGACCATCAGGGTGTAGTAAGAGCTATGTATTCTACCAACACCCTGTTTTTTGGGGGCAAAGTTTAATCATATACCGTTGAGGGATCTCCGACATAGGGGGTGGTTGTTGAGTCCCCATAACATCAAGAAAGATGGGGAGATGAACGACAGCAAGAAGAACAATGACAGTGACAATGAATGCCTTCCTCCGGCAATCAAAAGTGGCGTGCTGGAAAACCCCGCCGTTTAAAAGTTGAGATCCATGATTTTCCCCATTTGAGTCACAATTTATAGAGGATTTCCCAGCTAGCCATGTTTGATTACCAGATGGTCGCCCCCTAAGGCGCACACACATTGATTTGATCTGCACCACATGGCTGTCTCGTGAAGTGGAATGTTGTTGACAAATGTCAAATGACTACCAATGAGTATGTGTCAAAATGATCCACTCCAATTCTTGCAAGGTTTAACGTCTAAAATTCACCCCTAGTTTTCGGATCCATTGGTCCCAATTCTACCCGCTTGGAGATGTTTGTGAGCTGGATGAGGTTGGTGCCGATCAATCTATCAATGGAAGAAGCTGATCCGAAACAAAAGCCCAATGTTTGTTGTTGCCAGAAATATGTGTTGATAAATATTGATAAGCTGAAAAGTTGATAAACTTCCATGACTTAGCTCCATTGGACCCAGGAATCAACTTGGGCCCTACACCGTAGGGCAGGAGGTGCTTGTGGGCGAAGGAAGATGTTGGAATCGTTAAGATAGGGATATGAGTTGGATTATCATGGGGATATTCACCATGGTCACCTGTAAACAAACATAGCTATTGAAAATGGCAATTTTTAATGGGAAAATCCACTATAAATTGCCATTTTCAATAGCTATGTTTGTTTACCAGAGGGTAATAATTGGACATCATTGGATATCCAGTTGATTCATTCATCATTATAGTTGGATTCCATGGTTAATATTTGATCCTATCATTGGGATACAATTGGATTTAATGGGTTTTAATGTGATATTGTGTGGTGAATATCCATTAATAGTGATTCATAATGGAATGAATGTAGACTACCCTCTGGTAGTTTACCAGTTTGCGAACTGAAAAAATCACCATGTTTAAAGGGTAAATCATCTATAAAACGGGTCATGTTCAATAGCTATCTTAAACAACCAGAGGATAGATGTGGATGTCACCAAGAAGTTGCTGGCAGTTCAAAGCACCTAAAATCTGGTTATTTAACAGTTCGCAAACTAGAAAATCACCATGCTATAAATAGGTAAACCATCGATTTCTATGGGCCATCGTAATAACCATGGCAAAGGGGGGGAGCGGCACATCTCAGGATCTCGGAAGCAATGAAAGGTCGTCGTCATACATAGTTTCAGCAGCATCATCCTATCCCTCAGATATCGAATGCTACCTCAAAAGGGGACCAATAGAAAACCAGGGTAGTGGGAGAGTATTTTGATGTTTGGGGATGGGGTTACGAAGCATCCCTTGTTTGTCCAATGTTGACCTGTGCTCCAAAGCTGGTGCAATGGTTGACCATCAAAATGATCCACTTCCTGGGGCTATTCTTCCGAACCCCCCAAAAGTCACCATTTTTTGAGCCCAGTTTGCAAAAACCAGGTCTCTTTCGCGGTCACCATCAACGAAGACAACAAACCGCAGGCTGGTGAATTTCTGCGTCGATTTGTTCATAAAAATATGGTGATTTCACCATAAATGATTGGGGGGGATTGGGTTGTGTGAATGTTTGCCAGTTCATGTTTGTTAATTTTAGTAGTTTGTCCCATCATTTGTTTAATGATTTTAATGGGTTTTGTTTCCAATAGATGGGATTTACTCTTTCACCGACCCGAATGAGAGCGCAACACATCTGCAGCAGATAGATCTGGGTCATATGGACCTCAGTCGCTAACGAATGGCCGTTTTGATTGGAGGGTTTGCATGGTGATTCTATGGGTTTTAAAATGGATTTGATAGGGATTGAATGGGGATACAATGAGGTATAATGAGATATAACCAAATGTCTGGACATATTAGAAAAATGTCATATAATGATGATATAATGGATATTTGTACAATTGGAAGATAGTAGGGATGTAACCATCAATACATGATTTGGGTGTGTCTGGAGATGGCCTTGTAAACTGCGGTAATTGAAAGCGGCTAGCTGGGAAATGGACATCTTTCATGGACAAGGAAACTTGTCCCTAGGGGAATGTCTATTACCAGATGTGACTACGGCTATGCTAGCAGGGTATCCACAAAATTGATTTCAACCAACGAAAATGAATAAGAATGAGATGCACAGCATCCGAGCCGGGTAAATCTTGGTCAATGGCTAGTCGTTGGCGACATAGTAGCCATTTTTGGTCGAATGATGTCCAATGCAGTATCCCATCAAACAATATGGTATTTTTTCCAAGGGTATCTACAGTTAGCCATGGATGAGGGTGTCAGCCCAACCAGGCCTTTGATCTTCAAGTCATACCTGGGCTAGGCCTGGGCACTTGCTATGGCTATGGTGAAGCTGAGAAGAGGGAATTGGTCAGCCACCATGGTGGACCGTGATTCAAATGTAGTATCTAAATATCTAAACGTATCCAAATCATGCACTCTTGTGCAAGCACCAGTTGTGGTCCTGACCTTTGCTCCAATTATTCCACAAACAGATTCGCCAGGTGCAGCTGCCACCAGTTTAGCTGCCGGTGTCCTTCCTTTACCTCTGCTGCCTTTGCCCGGGCTGCTCCCCGGTTTGCCCGGCCTGCCTGGAGCCCTTCCGGGCGCCACATTGCCCCCGGGCCTCCCAGCGGGGCTCCCAGCAACGCTGCCGGGTGCCCTGCCGGGCGCCACGCTGCCAGGGCTCCCCGCGGCTTTGAGCGCCGCGCTGCCTGCGGGGCTTCCGCTGCCGATGCCCGGGCTGCTGCCGGGGCTCGCGGCCGGGACGCTGCCTCCCGAGCTGCCTCCGCAACCGGCACCGGTGGTGAAGACGCCACCGGCACCGGTGCAAACGCCCACACAGGCCGGGAAAGGTGAAGAATGGCAGCTGTATCTTCTGCTTTTTTGGGGATGAATGGGATGAGTTTCCCATGATTGGGCTGAGGAATCTCTGTGAGCAATAGCAGGGGAATTGGGCTTTGCTTTTGATCCATGGCCAGACGGGGAAGATGCTGGGAAGGGCATCCAAGGATCATAAAGAGCTCAAGAGCAAAGTCCAGATGGAAATATCTGAGTCAAGTGAAGGAAAGTGGTAGAATGGACTCTGAAGACAGCTGGCTGTCTGAGCAGTCGCCTACCGAACCACCTGAGTTGACATCCATGTTTTTTACCAGTGTTGGTCACAAAATGTAATGATCTGTGGTCCCCTAGAAGCTGTCAATTCTTGTTGCACTTGTTGATATCCCACTAGATATCATGTGAATCGTATGCATTTGTGTTGGCTATCCATTCAGCTTTGTTTCTTGTGTTTCTATGTTTTCCTGTCCGAAAACATTTGCTGAACCATCCTGATGTTCTGTCGTCATGTGTGGTTCTGTCATCACTTGCAAATTATACCCTGATCAAAAAGTTAGTTTCTTAGCTCTGGGCAAGTGCACTAAAAATCACCCAACAATTTAGATTGATGAATGATACGTATTCTTGCGTGTATTCTTATTATTGCCATCATCATCGTCATCATCATCATCATGATCATTCTTTTCGTTCTTATTGTTTTCGACGTGGTTATTATTACTATTATTATTACTACTATTATTATTACTATGGCTAATTGGTTTTATTCTATATTATTCTTATTATAATTCCTTTTTGATACTAATTGATAAGTATTGGCCTATTATGAAACGACAAGCTATTACAACATATTACAACGATCATTGATTATTAACCAAGCAATTTACATCACAATAGTCATAATATATCATAGTTATAGTAAGAATTATAGTAATAACTATTGATTATTCAGATGATCATCAACTATCAGTTCTTATAGTAATCATTCAACCAGGATCGCCTCCATGACACCCTCCAGCTCGTCCGCGCAGTCGCCCAATGGAGATCAGATCCTGGGGACGTTCCTGGGTGTTGTCAGGAGACTGGTTGGGGATGGGGATGTTTCATGGTTAATTCCTATGCATTGATAGTGAAGAATCAGGAGATCATTGGTGAATGGGGATCTGAGATGGGATATTTCATGGTGAAGAAAAATTAACTTGATTTGGGGCTAATTTGGATCAATCATGGGGATATAATGGAGGATATACCTTGCGGAAAACATACGAAAAGATGTGGAAATCACCATTGAAAAATCGGGAAATCATCCATAAATAGGCCATGGTTTCCAGTCTGATTAGTTTGCCCTAGGGTAATGGGAAATTATGGAGCTATATGGTGACCACCAGAGTGTTTTCAAGAAAACATGTGGGGAAAATCGAAGTCCAAAATCGTTGATCTCGAAGTTTATCTATGATTATCTATGTCATTTTTGCTTTGGGAATGTCTAATGACTATTGAATCAAGAGTTTTTCACTATTCATCCCCAAAAAACAATGGCACGAGATCTCCAGATTTCAGATATTTTCAGATAGAACCCAGACCACTTTGGTTCCTGTTCGAGGACGGTGGATGAGGACAAGGGCTTTGGTTTTATCACCAGCGATCAGCTGAGGGGGCAAGGAATCAGCCGTGAGCCCCAGCGAGCCCCGATGTGATGTGATGAGTTTGTGTATAAGTCCCATGGTACAGGATGGAGCCCCAGTTCGTTACAGCTAAGTTGGTGAACATAACTATAATAACAAGTTGGTGTATGATACTTAAAACTATATTTAGATTGGTTATAAACCAACTTTTAACTGGGGGAGGGCCCATGCACTGTAGTTATATGGTGTTTTTTTTAAGTGGGGGATCCAGTGAGCATGGATTTCAATACTAAGCCATGGTCATCCATGACTTGGATGATTTGGGGTACCCCATTTTAGGAAACTTTCATATCCTATAAACACAAAAACCCTGGTAAACCACAGCCTAGAAGTGATGGAAAAAAAGGGGATGAAAAACTGGATTCTGTTGGGTCCTCTGGAGTTTTTGTTGGTTTTCATGGACTGGTTCAACCCCACTTCGCAACCGGAGTGGTATGGGGATGCCGGTGGTCGCTGAGATGAAGACTGCTACGTGCACAAGCACTACCTGGGAAGAGAATTCAACGTAGGGTCGGAGCCTGAGCCGCGAAGATTTCTCCGGTACAGAAAGGGGCACCCTACCAGGCGTTTGGTAGGTTATAGTTGCGGTATCTTACCAATTCAATATGTCCCTCATACATTTTTTATACATCCATATAAAATCATATAATTCGAATCGTTCGCCTAGCTAACTTGCTGTTTGGGGCCCCTCTACTCCGATGTTCCAAAGTGAGAGCATAGGGATGAAGACTTTCACCAACAACCCATGGGGGATATACGAAAAATGGGGGAGTTCACCGGCTTCAACCCCAGAAAATATGGAAAATAGTGCTGTTTCCCAACATGGAAGATGTGCCCAATCTGTTTTCAGGGACTGTGTCTATCATAAGTTCTTCCCAGTTTTTCGATAGCGTACAACTTTTTTTGGGGGGCAGGACATTGCCCTATGCTTCATGTATTCACTTTAAGTACATCCCGATCATGTCTGTAAGTTCACATGATTCCATCGTTGTTTAATGGGGATCCCCAGAGAGTCACGGCACCAAGATGACTTCCCACTAGATGGACTTTTCGTGCAGGGTGCTAAGGTTTGAATCATCAAAACCTCAAAAAAACATCCGCATGTTGTGTAAATGCGTGTAATGATATCCGCATGTATCTCCATATGCTTGATGTCATTGGGTATCCAAGATTCCTGCTGGTGGTTCTCATATCCATTCTCGTGCTCCTAATCCGTACTTGGGCTGCAGTTCCACGAATAAGTGGCTTACATAACCGTAGTTGTAAGGGTTATATCCCAACATATGCAGGTTGGAAACCCCCGGCATGCACCCCCAAGGAAAAACGCCCATGCTTGATGCTATCCCAAGTCGTGTGATGTTGAAGCCGTGAAATCCCCAGGGAAATCCCCATTGTTTGTAGGCTTGGCCATAGCTTGGCCATAGTAACCTTGACCCCCAAAGATAGAAAAGGTTGAATTTCTCGACTAGGATTGGACGGAATTCTTCTGCGTCTAGTCGGGGATTGCTATATGGGTGTGTCTGAGAATGGAGCATACAGTATACCCTCCAAATGGCAATTTTTTGTAGGGCAAATGATGACTATTCAGTGGATTTAGGAGTACACCATTTTCCAACACACACAAATCCCAAAAGGTGAGTGTCTAAGAGAAAAACCCATGATATCCCTATGATCTTTTCCAATATATCCCCATGCTATGCGCGAACATATCCCCAAAATCATCAAAATCCAGATAGCGTTGCTTATACAGTATATACAGTATATCAGTATATCCTATGATATCCCCTTTAGAATCCAAAAAAAAATCTCCATGCCATCCCCATGAAATCTCCTTTCTCCCTGATATTCGGAAAATTCAATGGTTACAGGAAAACAAACAAAACTGATGTGGAAAATTCCATGGTTTTCATAGGAAAATCATTTAATGTGGGTATTCCACAATGCCATGTTTACCATCCCCCAGTCATCACCATTTTTATAGGTGGTATGTTGACCATTCCCATGTCTGGTAAAAATGCCATTGTTTTACCCACAAAAAACATCTTTGCCAGGTCGGAGGTGTCTTTCACGGCCTTCCTAGATGCACGTAACGGCAGGCCGCTGGAACCGCTGTGGATTGTTTTTTCTGTAAGCCCCCCCAAAAAAAAGTCGACAGCATCAAAATCCATGTCAAAAATCGTGGTAAATCACGGCTGGAACCGCAACAAGATGTGGGGGCAACATGGGGTTACCATAGAAATGCTGTGAGCTATCCTGAAATAACTCTCTGGTGATTTCACTTCGCCATAGAAAATGGTGGCCATGTTCCATGGTTTCAGAGGCAATCATCTCTACACAGGCCATGTTCCGCTGTGAACAAACAGAACTGGGCCAATTTGCTGAGAGGACCAGGATTTTTGGATCTTGCCCAACTGCTCATCTCCAGTAAAACTAACAGTTTGCTATGGAGAAATGACTATTTTTAGATGATTACCTAATAAAAAGTGTGATTTCCATAGCTATGTTTAGCAAAGGGCAACCTCCCAGAATTGGCTTGATGGAGCAATTGAATATGTTCATCAATATAGTCAATTGATAACGGGCACAAGGCGAGTTGTTTCGCGGAAACGAGGCCAAAATGGACCTTGAGAGTGTGGCTGCCACTCTTCCGTTTACGGAAGTCCAATGGACTTTCTTTTATATGCTACAGTTGAGCTATTTGGCTCGAGATATCTTGGAAGGCATATGTTGGAGTTCCTTTTCTTTGATTGGATACAGATCGATGCTTCAAGTAAATGTAGCGTTGCCGGTCGCATTGAAAGCCTTTCCGTGTTGTCCTCCACAGTCGAGGACTTGTCACTGCTGGGCATGGTTTGATCCGATGGAAACCCACGTGGGGCGATTCACAAGAGGCGACAGCTCTCAAGTTCAACAGAAACTCAATGGTGACGTGGGGCCATGCCGCTGGTGGTGATTCTTCTGCGGTTCAAGGTGGGCTCAAAGGTGTAAAGTGCAAGCCCGAGGACCTACATTTACTGCGATTCTGTCGGACGGCGAAATGTTGTCACATGGGGCACAAATGCAATGTTCGAGTATGTTGTCCCAGAAAAGCTCATGGGTGTTCAGCAGGTTCAGGTCACAGAGCTTGCATTTGCTGCGATCCGGGCTGATGGATCAATTGTTACTTGGGGCGCTCCACATGCTGGTGGCGATAGCTCTGCCGTTCAAGATCAGCTTAAGAATGTCCAGCAAGTGCAGGCCACAAGTATGGTCTTTGCTGCAATCCTGACAGACGAATCAGTCGTCACATGCGGGGGCTCCAAGTGCTGGTGGGGACAGCAATCCTACAGGATGGATCTGTGGTTGCATGGGGTCATGAAGAATATGGTGGCGACAGCTCTGCTGTTGAAGATCAAATCGCGGCACTGTAACAAATCCCTCATGGAAAAAAAATGAAAAGTGGTTGGTGTGCGTCTGGGGAAGTAACTAAGAAGGCTGCTCTGAGCATTTGATTTCCTGGTGATGCGTGCACTTGGGTCTATGATATGCGTAATTATTGTGATATAGAGATGATACATATGTGTTTAAATTCATATATTACATGTATCTATCTATCTATCTATCTATCTATCTATCTATCTATCTACCTATCTATCTATCTATCTATCCATCTATCTAATCTTATCTTATCTTATCTTATCTTATCTATCTATCTTTCTATCTATCTGTCTATCTATCTATCTATCTATCTATCTATCTATCTATCTATCTTTATATTTATATATATGCCCATGCGGGTTTGTCTGCAAATAGGGTTACCACTGGCTGATCATCATGTTCTCCCTTTAAAAATTTGTGAGTCGTGTTGAAATTTTGAGAAATCCAGCATGGCATGGTTTGTTTCCCATCGGTCGCTCAGTTTCCATTCATGGCGATCCACATAGGCCCCGCGCCAAAGATCTCAAAGACGCCAAGGGCAAGGTTGGCGGCTGAACAATGTCACAGCCATAGCCATGACGAAAATACCCAGATTGGGGATTTTTTGGGGGGTGAGTTATGAACCTGGGTCATTGGGGATTATGAATTAACTCACAGTAGGGAAAACGATCAACCAGCCAACTAGTACAATCAGATGGTATAAATTGGCTGTCCTGTGGACTGAAAGATGATACATGTATGGGATTTGATCGTTATTTCATGGGGATAGAAAATCGGACCAAACAATCAACGGTAGTCAAACATGGCTGGCAAATCAGTGGGAAAATCATAACTCGGTGGCGGGATTTTCCGGCAAACCATGTGACTGCCGGAGAGTATATCCGAGGAAGATTTTGGGACCAAAAGCTGGCATTCTCCAAGTGAGCACCCTACCAATAAGCATGTTGTTTTCGACAACGATCCAAAGTTGACCATCGAGGTTGCCAACAGCGTCTCTAACACTCTTGGATACTATGATCCCATTGTACGAGTCCCAAGCAAAAGGCGGTGAGTCCCACAGGGCAGTTAGAAAAACAGCAGCGCGTCGCAAGACTTAGAACACACAGGTTGTCATTGCAAAATTACTGGTTGTTGGGATAAAGAATTTCTTTGTGGCTAGAATTTCAGGATCCATCCCAAACCGCACATGATGTGTGCGAAAGATTGGTACTTGGCCAATATGTTTTGAAGGGTTGAGATTACCACTCCAACTCTGAGTGGCCAAAATCTGCCGGTGGCACGATCCACCACTGGTCTACTGCCGAAGTTTGGACACATCCCCAATTTGTTTGCTTTTAAATTCTGGATGTTTAATGATGCTAGTTCCATGATCATGTTTCCTCATACCTCAACACTTATCGGCATATTGGTGTATGGCTCTTTCTCAAGCTCATTCCAACCCAATCTTCGAATGTTAAATGCCAAAACAAGGCCACCCCTTGTGGTTATCTTCGATGACCCGGCTCAAACTTGAGTAGCCACAAGAATAGGATGCGGCTGTGGAAATGACCACACTAACCAGCTGAAAAAAAACTGGTTGCAGGCTATCTAAGAGTACCCGGTTGCAGGGTACAAAAGATCAATATCTTATCTGGATGAGTTTTGTTGTGACCTCATTGTGACGGAATTCGACGGAATGATGGGAATTCTAAGAGGGGTCATCCCCAAGTGGTTTTTTTTAATAAAACAGCTGGACATCATCGAACAGTATTAGCCCTAGTTATCATCTATCTATGGATAGGATATGATAGGATTAACCATACATTAACCATACATTAACCATCATTTACCATCATTTACCATCATTAATCATCATTAACCATCCATTTTCATGCCATTTTCCATGAAAAAAACCATCCAGCTATTGGACACCCCAGGCTTTGAGGTCTTCGGTTCATCCTGGGTCACCTGGGATCCCTTGGATCCCCCCGTGGATTTTTTCCCGGCAGGTGGGACCACAGTCGACCATGATGCCACCAGCTGCTCCCACCCTGCCAGGCTTCGATATGTTTTTTCGGTATTGCTAGCCTGACTATCTGGTAATACCAAAAACTATGGGAAAATCATGGAAAATCATGGGTGAATCAGTTGTTTCGACTGGGCCATGCTATCACCAGAGGCTGCCATGTTTGTTTTGTGGTCGGGAAAGCCCGGCAGGCGCCGGCCTGGGGCTGCCGGGGCTTGGGCTGCCCCTACCGGGCCTCGGCGCCGGGTTAACGGCTCCGGCGCCGGGAATGCCTTGCGCCGGTGGAGAGAAGGAGGATAGCATCGGCACCTACAAAGGCACCGTGAAAAGTGGAGGCCTCAGATGGGTTTTTAGTGAAAGACCATAATTCAATCGATTCAATTGTGGTTTTAATAAGTTGAATACCTGCTAAATCCATGAAATAGTAGTCTCCTTATTGGAACAAGTGCCAAATATGAATGGAACACATGGGAGTTTCTTAAGTCATGAAGGAACCCTAAGGCACCTTCGTTGTTTCAATACGAAGTCATGCTCCAATGAGTGGATGATTTGAGGGTACCCCCGGTTTTAGGACACCTCTAAATGGGTTACTTTGGGGATGTTTTACGGTGAAAGCAGCTAGAAACAACTCCATTGGCTGTCAGTCAAATGCCCATGGTTTTGCGTTGAATGGATATCTGATCTGATATATTGGGAATACTCATCCCAACTGACTTTCATATTTTTCAGAAGGGTTGAAACCACCAACCAGCTGATTATCTCCTTGAAACTTTCCCAACATCCCAAAATTAGTGTAAGGAACATATGTTTCCGGAAACCCTGATGGCTTTAGCTGCCTATAGATGTGCCTATATTCCATCAACCTAAGGACAACCCCGACCCTACTTTGAGTGCACTTGGGCTGTCATTCTTATGGGTCTTAGACCATGGTAAAATGGGTTTGTCTGAAATTGTATGGGGAAAAAAACAACTCATGGTTCATTATCACGTCCCCTGTTTTCTACAGCTATGTCGTTGGGGCTTGCGCCCCCATGAGTCGGGTTTTCTTTCGATCAACCATGGAAACTTCCCAATAGATGGAGGTTTAGTTCGCTTGGAAAACATGGAAAACCATCGAACTAAATGACGGATTTCCAGCAAGCCACGTTTGATTGCCAGGGGGTAATCGATATTCATTCCATTATCAATCACTATGAATGGATATTCACCATGAAATATCCCATTAAAGCCACATCAAAAAAATGAACTATCCCCATGGTATCCTCACTATTAATCCAAATCAAGCCCAAATCGAGTTAAATCACTATTCTTAATCACTATTCATGGATATTATCAATTCTATAATACCTATTAAATAACCAAATCAACTTAGATATGCCATCATGCATATCCCCATTATATATACAAAAAATCCTCTGAACTCCCCATGCCATAACCCTTTTGATATTCCCATGATCTTTCGGTCCGATCCCGGATTCCGATTACGATCTCAAGATCTGCAGGTTACAATGCCCTGAAAGGCTTTGGTTTTATCGTTTGCCCTGAACTGCAGAAGGAGCGAAAAGTCCAAACAAACGCACCGTGGGGATCATGGTCGTCGTTGTTTGTCGTTTGGGGAAGCGTTAAAAAAGGTGGGTGGGGATCTCAAAGAAAGGGAGAGTTCATGGGATTGGCATGAAAAGTTTGGGAGATGCCTCATATTTCATCATCCAAAATGGGGTGGAATATGGTTCACGCGCATCAAAAGATAAAAGCTTTCATTTTGTGGTAAGATGCAAGGGTTCATAAAGAGTACGTTCCGTATTAGACTTGCCATTTTAAATTTTGGGACCCCAGTTTGAGACAGACCCGTATTGTATAGCGATTGAACCAATTAAAATCGGAATTTACTTGCTTCAACCATCAAGAGTTGGAAAATTTGGTGTGTAAATTCCTCCAAAGTATGGCTTATCTCACCAGTAATATGTGTGTGATCTAAGGATCAAAAACTGAAAAAAAATACGTTGAAACTCTAGACAAGACTGGGATGCTGTTGATATGTGATCGTTATTTTTTGAGTGGAAACCCCGAGCAAAAATTCTCCGAGCAAGCTTCGGCACAGGAAGGCTGGAGTGATGATATTTATTTGCAGAGGCGGGGACCAAAAGTGATACTTTTTTGATGGAGGAATTATCCCAAATTTGTGGTGGTTTAATGAGATTTTTCATTGTCAATATCCATGAATAGTGATGAATAATGGCCCCCGTTGGCTAAAATGGGGCCCCGTTGGATAGCGTTCAGTTGAGATATGGCTGTGGCTGAATTCTATGGTTTATGCTAGATATAACTATAGTTAATGGGCTTCATAAACCAACTTAAAACTGGGAGGCACCATCCTGTAACATAACTATGGAAAATGAACCATTTAGCGATGATTTGCCGAAAAAAAATATTTGTGATTTTCCGTGGCCATGGTAAATGGCCAGATTTTCAAATTGTTCCTTTCAGCTTTGGGATGTTTGAATTGCCCAAGCGATGAGAAAAGGGTCACGGATACTGGTGGTTTCAAGCACTTGCATGGCATTGCATGGCTTTGAAAATAGAGAAGCCCAAAGTTTGATGGTTTATCATCATTTTTCCCACTACATTAAAGATGTAAATAGTCATTTTGAAGGAAAAGCCATTTAGCCATTTTCAGACACAGCCGCATCCGTGTTTTTCATCTACATCTCCTCCTTGGAAAAACCCTTCACCTGGTCCTGTCGTTCACCTGTCGGCCACAGGAAGAACACAAATGACATGCCCTTCAAATCAGGCCTTTTTGGTCCCTGGCATTGGGAATGGGATGATAAAAGTGTGGTCACAGAAGCATGGGACTTCGACATTTTACTGAAACAACCACGGCTTTGGAGATCTCCCATTTCGAAAAAAGCAGACTGGAGAAAGTGGTAGAGAAAACATACCTAAGTTTGTCACTTAGGTGGAGATCAGGTTTGGGTTTGCAACACCAAGTTACCCGTCAAAGACTTAGCAAATACCGATAGAATATGGTGAAATTGATCAATAAGGACAAAAACGTCCACAAGGCCGGTGCCTGAGAAAAACAAATCCCGTCGCCCCATGGTTGATACCCCAAATTACGGCAATGTTGGGCAAAATTATGACGGGACTATGAAGCCAAACCGGTGATGGGGTCCCAAAAATTGAAGATACCCTCTGGTAATTTAACATAGCTATTGAAAATGGCTATTTATAGTGGATTTTCCCATTAAAAATGGTGATTTTCAATAGCTATGTTAGTTTACCAGAGGGTACCCCCATGCATCCCTCATTTGGCTTGGGAACACCTGGCTGTGACATTGCGGGACATCGTGAGCGACTTCAACGGTCACCTGCTTGCAGGAGTTGCAGCTCAGCAGTGACCATGGTGTATGGTCTAATCCATGAGTCCATGCTGGAATCCAGAGAAATACGGGTTTAGGATGAAGAGCCAGCTTCAACTATGAAGCCCTTAAGCGAGGCATGTGAGAAATGGGAGTGATCTTCAAGGACTTTTCACTTGCGAAGATTGCTTGACTACCAGCACATTTTGGGTCTTCGTACAGCCTTGGCTGGAGCTTGAACTAAGTGAACTAAGCACTGGAAAGCAATTGCTTTATCCTCAGAAACACAGTCCTCACCCAGGACAACGTATTACGTTCCCTGTGCCGGACCTCGATCGCATGCTTGCATCTATGATACATCCCAAGTATACCTCATTTGATGTCAACAATAATTATTACCATACTTGTCATCGTTATGATGATTAAGATCATCGCAATCCGTATGATTATGAACGTACTATATATTACAATAAGACAATAATGAACGTACTATATATTACAATCAGACAATAAGATCATTGATTATGTAACAGCTTATATCAAGAGCATCAATGTTACAACCATTATAACATGTATTTCAATATTACCACAAACATGTATAACAGTGTGTTGTGTACTAATTATTAACCAATACTATTCAAATGGAGGTTTCCTAAAATGGGGGTACCCCTAGATCATCCAAGTCATTAGACCATGACTTAGCCATGGTGACTTGGAGTATCCACCATTTTAGGAAACCTCCAAATCATTACAATATTAAGATCATCATCTAGTGATTAATAGTTTATAGTGTATTACCGGTTAACTGATACCATTTAAATCATTACAAATTAACACCATCATTATCACCATCATTATCACCACCATTGCCTCATCAGCAAGTTTTTGAGCGCTCATTTTTTTGTTTGCGGCCGCGACGCTTCGTCACTTGCAGCCATGAGGAAAAAATGCCTTATGTATGTATATGTGTGTATATATATGATATACATATATAATATACATTTTATATATATATACATAAATATGTTTATAGATACATACATATATATATATATATGCCCTATACAGTACATATCCATAACTGATGAGTTAAATCCCCAGAAAAGATCCACATTCGTGTGGCTTTTCCAGGTGATTATGTCTCCTTCGAAGCCTTCATCTTTCAGGGACGTCTTCAAGGTGTAGAAACGTTGATTGGGAAGACATGGAAGGACGTGGGTCTCTACCAAAACTGGTGGTTTTGGCAGGAACATGTGGATGTGGGTCAAAATGGAAGACCGATGTGGGACCACAGATGTTAGTCTAGTTTAGTATCCACCATCCAATTATTGGGGTACCTAATTTTGACCCATACCTTTATGGGGATATGTCATAGGGAAAAATGGGCGTATCTTTAGCATGGATATCTTGGATGAAATGTAACCATCACAAAAAGCTATGTGTGTACCAGGGGAATATCCTTAAAATTATGGATCCGTCATAAAGAGGAACCCACTTTAAGCTACCAAGAGTTCCCAAGAAAAAAGTTCTGGAGATGCCCCCGGGGAAAATGTTGTTTTTCACCTTCGGCCTTGGGGGGTTACCCTATTCTTAGGCAGGCTCATTTATCTGATTTCAAGAGATTTCAGATGATTTCAGCTGAAAATTGATGTTCCCTTCCAGAAAATTCCATGAAATTGATTCGAGCCATAAGACCGGTGGTTTGGACCTGTCAAATGACCCTCAAAGACATGGACTTGACCTCGGACAATGAGGGATCGTCCTTGGTCATCGGAACGGGGGTCACCTTGATGAATGATTGGGGAAATACAGTGACCACCCTCCGTTTAGATTAAACCCCCCCAGAAACCATGCTTTTAATAGTTTGATAGGGCATTTTTAATCACATATTTTCGGGACCATAGAATGAAGGTGTTTTTCATGTTTCGGATCAAAAATGCCCATCTCCCATGAAGAATTGACCTGCCCTGTGGCAGGGTATCATTCAGCTCAATCAGCATGTTCG